GCATGAAAACTGAACACAGAATCCTGAACATCAGCGGTGAGTGACACAAACATAAACTTAACCTAAATAAATAATTCAACGCTTCGTAAATGTTCCTAAAATGTTTAATTCATGTTAATGGTTAATTCCAGGTTTACCGCAATCGCTTTTTCTTGCATTAAAACAGTTTTTTTGTCATGAAAACAGTTTTTTTGTCATTAAAACAGTTTTTTTGTCATTAAAACAGTATTTTTGTCATTAAAACAGTTTTTTTGTCATTAAAACAGTATTTTTGTCATGAAAACAGTTTTTTTGTCATTAAAACAGTTTTTTTGTCATTAAAACAGTTTTTTTGTCATGAAAACAGTTTTTTTGTCATTAAAACAGTTTTTTTGTCATTAAAACAGTTTTTTTGTCATTAAAACAGTATTTTTGTCATGAAAACAGTTTTTTTGTCATTAAAACAGTTTTTTTGTCATTAAAACAGTTTTTTTGTCATGAAAACAGTTTTTTTGTCATTAAAACAGTATTTTTGTCATGAAAACGTGAACAGATAATTCTGAAACCTCCGTGTGTTAAGAATGTAAATATATAATGTATTCTCCCATTAACATTTAAATGTATTGATTGATATGTATTTGTGTTTATGGAGCGTGGCTAGCTCCGGAGTGGCCGGAACTACTGTCGGAGTAATCTACACATCTGAAAGTGCGTTGCCAAAGGGCAGCGGCCATTATTGTTTTGAGAGGTCTGTTATCAAGAAATAATGGCCGGTAGAACGTTTTGAAATGACATTCAAATAAATGGTTCTCCTGCTGCTGAGAGGAGCTGTATAATAAATAAAATATATATATAAGAAAAGAAAAAATCTCACCTTTGGCCCTCCGCGGGTGGTTATCCCTCTCTATCCGCGGGTGGTTATCCCTCTCTATCCGCGGGTGGTTATCCCTCTCTATCTGTGGGTGGTTATCTCTCTCTATCTGTGGGCGGTTATCCCTCTCTATCTGTGGGTGGTTATCCCTCTCTATCTGTGGGTGGTTATCTCTCTCTATCTGTGGGTGGTTATCTCTCTCTATCTGTGGGCGGTTATCCCTCTCTATCTGTGGGTGGTTATCCCTCTCTATCTGTGGGTGGTTATCCCTCTATCTGTGGGTGGTTATCCCTCTCTATCTGTGGGTGGTTATCCCTCTCTATCTGTGGGTGGTTATCCCTCTCTATCTGTGGGCAGTTATCCCTCTCTATCTGTGGGTGGTTATCTCTCTCTATCTGTGGGTGGTTATCTCTCTCTATCTGTGGGTGGTTATCCCTCTATCCGTGGGCGGTTATCCCTCTCTATCTGTGGGTGGTTATCCCTCTCTATCTGTGGGTGGTTATCTCTCTCTATCTGTGGGCGGTTATCCCTCTCTATCTGTGGGTGGTTATCCCTCTCTATCCGTGGGTGGTTATCTCTCTCTATCTGTGGGCGGTTATCCCTCTCTATCCGTGGGTGGTTATCCCTCTCTATCCGTGGGTGGTTATCCCTCTCTATCCGTGGGTGGTTATCCCTCTCTATCTGTGGGTGGTTATCTCTCTCTATCTGTGGGCGGTTATCCCTCTCTATCCGTGGGTGGTTATCCCTCTCTATCTGTGGGTGGTTATCCCTCTCTATCCGTGGGTGGTTATCCCTCTCTATCCGTGGGCGGTTATCCCTCTCTATCTGTGGGTGGTTATCTCTCTCTATCTGTGGGCGGTTATCCCTCTCTATCTGTGGGCGGTTATCCCTCTATCCGTGGGCAGTTATCCCTCTCTATCCGTGGGTGGTTATCCCTCTCTATCCGTGGGTGGTTATCTCTCTCTATCCGTGGGTGGTTATCCCTCTCTATCTGTGGGTGGTTATCTCTCTCTATCTGTGGGTGGTTATCCCTCTCTATCTGTGGGTGGTTATCCCTCTCTATCTGTGGGCGGTTATCCCTCTCTATCTGTGGGTGGTTATCCCTCTCTATCTGTGGGCGGTTATCCCTCTCTATCCGTGGGCGGTTATCCCTCTCTATCCGTGGGCGGTTATCCCTCTCTAAGCTCGGGTCCTCTACCAGAGTTCTGGGAGCTTGAGGGTTCTGCGCAGTATCTTTGCTGTTCCTAGCACTGCACATTTCTGGACCGAGATGTCCGAGGTTGTTCCAGGGATCCGCTGTAACCTCTTCTAGCTTCGGGGTCACTGCCCCGAGTGCACCGATCACCACGGGCACTACTGTGACCTTTACCCTCCAGGCCCTCTCCAGCTCCTCTCTGAGACCTTGGTATTTCTCAAGCTTTTCGTGTTCTTTTTTCGGGATGTTAACATCGCTTGGAATTGCCACGTCCACCACCACGGCTGTCCTCTGCCCTTTGTCCACCACCACAGCTGTCCTCTGCCCTTTGTCCACCACCACGGCTGTCCTCTGCCCTTTGTCCACCACCACGGCTGTCCTCTGCCCTTTGTCCACCACCACGGCTGTCCTCTGCCCTTTGTCCACCACCACGGCTGACCTCTGCCCTTTGTCCACCACCACGGCTGTCCTCTGCCCTTTGTCCACCACCACGGCTGTCCTCTGCCCTTTGTCCACCACCACGGCTGTCCTCTGCCCTTTGTCCACCACCACGGCTGTCCTCTGCCCTTTGTCCACCACCACGGCTATCCTCTGCCCTTTGTCCACCACCACGGCTGTCCTCTGCCCTTTGTCTACCACCACGGCTATCCTCTGTCCTTTGTCCACCACCACGGCTGTCCTCTGCCCTTTGTCCACCACCACGGCTGTCCTCTGCCCTTTGTCCACCACCACGGCTGTCCTCTGCCCTTTGTCCACCACCACGGCTGTCCTCTGCCCTTTGTCCACCACCACGGCTGTCCTCTGCCCTTTGTCCACCACCACGGCTGTCCTCTGCCCTTTGTCCACCACCACAGCTGTCCTCTGCCCTTTGTCTACCACCACGGCTGTCCTCTGCCCTTTGTCCACCACCACGGCTGTCCTCTGTCCTTTGTCCACCACCACGGCTGTCCTCTGCCCTTTGTCTACCACCACGGCTATCCTCTGTCCTTTGTCCACCACCACGGCTGTCCTCTGCCCTTTGTCCACCACCACGGCTATCCTCTGCCCTTTGTCCACCACCACGGCTGTCCTCTGCCCTTTGTCCACCACCACGGCTGTCCTCTGCCCTTTGTCCACCACCACGGCTGTCCTCTGCCCTTTGTCCACCACCACGGCTGTCCTCTGCCCTTTGTCCACCACCACGGCTATCCTCTGCCCTTTGTCCACCACCACGGCTGTCCTCTGCCCTTTGTCTACCACCACGGCTATCCTCTGTCCTTTGTCCACCACCACGGCTGTCCTCTGCCCTTTGTCCACCACCACGGCTGTCCTCTGCCCTTTGTCCACCACCACGATGTCAGGTTGGTTCATTACCATTCGGTCGGTCTGTATCTGGAAGTCCCACAGGATCTTTGCTCATTCTCCACCACCTTTGGAGGAGTTTCTTAGACCTTGGGGTTTCCAGCCCATACTCTGCACAGATGTTTCTGTACACTATGCCAGCCACTTGGTTATGGCGTTCCATGTAGGCCTTCCCTGCAGCATCTTGCACCCTCAGACTCAAGGTCTGTTATTTGATGAGAGAGAAAATAATCTTTTTAAAAATGGTTAAAAACTCACAAAATAGCTTCTTTCAAAAGTTTTCTCTGAGTGCCTCCCTGTTCTCTCTATAGGTTTAAACATTTGCATTATTGATGACAGCTCCATCCTTCTCTGAACTCATTTCCGCCCCAGGATTTGCATAAAGCCATAGTTTCTTCAGACGAATCCACTCCCACTGGATTCTCTCTCATTGTTTAATTAGGCCTTTGTCCTATTGTAAGTCCAGACACGTGTTTTTTAACCCAAACCCATTTTCGTGAGTGCGAGTCAAGTATTAGTTGGTTCCATGTTTATTCAGAGCCAATTACCGTTTGTGTTCTGTCCCCCGGCCTGCCCCCTCACCAACTCTCTCAGTCGAGGAAGACGGACTAATTAAGAAAGAATATAATAAAAATAAACCTTTGTAAACAACTCAAATGCTCTGCTAACACCTGCTTTTTCAGATTTCTCTGATTCACGGAGCACTTTTGCTTTGGGCTTCGTCTGAACTGACAAGACTTCTGAAAATAAAATTATATTTTTAATTGACAATATGCTCCATCAGTGATTGAACGAGGGGCTGTTTTGTTCTCTCTAAAAGTCATTTCATGCCATTTACAAAAGCGTTTATATGAATTAGCTCAGACTTTTAATGGACTGCATTCAAAGTTTGCAAACAACAATACTACTTTTATTGGGGCAGAAAATATGTTGCGAGCAGAAAAATTAAATTAATCTCCAGTGGAAGAGCGTGTTACAGCAGGAAGTGGATTAGACTGGAATCTAAAGCTCTACAAGCCTGGTGCCTGGTTCCTGGTGCCTGGTTCCTGGTGTCTGGTGTATTTGACCACGGCTTTCTCAAAGGATGAGTACAGTACTTATTGAACTATAGGTTTTTCCTCAGAGCGCCACAGCTCCTTCAGCTGTTGATCTCCAGATGATGACGCGTGTTTATGTGAACAGCAGAGAGACACGTTTGTATTTTCACACTCTCAAAGTGAGTAGTGTCGAGCTGCTAAAGCGGGCTATGCGGGCCGCAACTGAAGAGCAGGACCAGAGCGACCTCGGTCTGCTGGGAACAGGACCAGAGCGGGCTCGGTCTGCTGGGAACAGGACCAGAGCAGGCTCGGTCTGCTGGGAACAGGACCAGAGCAGGCTCGGTCTGCTGGTAACAGGACCAGAGCGGGCTCGGTCTGCTGGGAACAGGACCAGAGCGGGCTCGGTCTGCTGGGAACAGGACTAGAGCAGGCTCGGTCTGCTGGGAACAGGACCAGAGCAGGCTCGGTCTGCTGGGAACAGGACCAGAGCAGGCTCGGTCTGCTGGGAACAGGACCAGAGCAGGCTCGGTCTGCTGGGAACAGGACTAGAGCAGGCTCGGTCTGCTGGGAACAGGACCAGAGCAGGCTCGGTCTGCTGGGAACAGGACTAGAGCAGGCTCGGTCTGCTGGGAACAGGACTAGAGCAGGCTCGGTCTGCTGGGAACAGGACTAGAGCAGGCTCGGTCTGCTGGGAACAGGACTAGAGCAGGCTCGGTCTGCTGGGAACAGGACTAGAGCAGGCTCGGTCTGCTGGGAACAGGACTAGAGCAGGCTCGGTCTGCTGGGAACAGGACTAGAGCAGGCTCGGTCTGCTGGGAACAGGACCAGAGCAGGCTCGGTCTGCTGGGAACAGGACCAGAGCAGGCTCGGTCTGCTGGGAACAGGACCAGAGCAGGCTCGGTCTGCTGGGAACAGGACTAGAGCAGGCTCGGTCTGCTGGGAACAGGACCAGAGCAGGCTCGGTCTGCTGGGAACAGGACCAGAGCAGGCTCGGTCTGCTGGGAACAGGACCAGAGCAGGCTCGGTCTGCTGGGAACAGGACTAGAGCAGGCTCGGTCTGCTGGGAACAGGACCAGAGCAGGCTCGGTCTGCTGGGAACAGGACCAGAGCAGGCTCGGTCTGCTGGGAACAGGACTAGAGCAGGCTCGGTCTGCTGGGAACAGGACCAGAGCAGGCTCGGTCTGCTGGGAACAGGACTAGAGCAGGCTCGGTCTGCTGGTAACAGGACCAGAGCAGGCTCGGTCTGCTGGTAACAGGACTAGAGCAGGCTCGGTCTGCTGGGAACAGGACCAGAGCAGGCTCGGTCTGCTGGGAACAGGACCAGAGCGGGCTCGGTCTGCTGGGAACAGGACTAGAGCAGGCTCGGTCTGCTGGGAACAGGACCAGAGCAGGCTCGGTCTGCTGGGAACAGGACCAGAGCAGGCTCGGTCTGCTGGGAACAGGACCAGAGCAGGCTCGGTCTGCTGGTAACAGGACCAGAGCGGGCTCGGTCTGCTGGGAACAGGACTAGAGCAGGCTCGGTCTGCTGGGAACAGGACTAGAGCAGGCTCGGTCTGCTGGGAACAGGACCAGAGCAGGCTCGGTCTGCTGGGAACAGGACCAGAGCAGGCTCGGTCTGCTGGGAACAGGACTAGAGCAGGCTCGGTCTGCTGGGAACAGGACCAGAGCAGGCTCGGTCTGCTGGGAACAGGACCAGAGCAGGCTCGGTCTGCTGGGAACAGGACCAGAGCAGGCTCGGTCTGCTGGGAACAGGACCAGAGCAGGCTCGGTCTGCTGGGAACAGGACTAGAGCAGGCTCGGTCTGCTGGGAACAGGACCAGAGCAGGCTCGGTCTGCTGGTAACAGGACTAGAGCAGGCTCGGTCTGCTGGGAACAGGACCAGAGCAGGCTCGGTCTGCTGGGAACAGGACCAGAGCAGGCTCGGTCTGCTGGGAACAGGACTAGAGCAGGCTCGGTCTGCTGGGAACAGGACCAGAGCAGGCTCGGTCTGCTGGGAACAGGACTAGAGCAGGCTCGGTCTGCTGGGAACAGGACCAGAGCAGGCTCGGTCTGCTGGGAACAGGACCAGAGCAGGCTCGGTCTGCTGGGAACAGGACCAGAGCAGGCTCGGTCTGCTGGGAACAGGACTAGAGCAGGCTCGGTCTGCTGGGAGCAGGACTAGAGCAGGCTCGGTCTGCTGGGAACAGGACCAGAGCAGGCTCGGTCTGCTGGGAACAGGACCAGAGCAGGCTCGGTCTGCTGGGAACAGGACTAGAGCAGGCTCGGTCTGCTGGGAACAGGACCAGAGCAGGCTCGGTCTGCTGGGAACAGGACCAGAGCAGGCTCGGTCTGCTGGGAACAGGACCAGAGCAGGCTCGGTCTGCTGGGAACAGGACTAGAGCAGGCTCGGTCTGCTGGGAACAGGACCAGAGCAGGCTCGGTCTGCTGGGAACAGGACCAGAGCAGGCTCGGTCTGCTGGGAACAGGACCAGAGCAGGCTCGGTCCAATGGGATCAGGGCTAAACGTGTCTCCCACTCAGCCTGGGGGGTGTTCCAGTGCAGTTGCGAGGTCAGCTCTATTCTTATGTGAAAGTGAAAGGTTTGGCGGGCACTAAAGCGGTCCATGTGAACACGCGGTCCATGTGAAAAGGGAAGGCGGTCCATGTGAAAAGGCGGTCCACGTGAAAAGGCGGTCAACGTGGTCCATGTGAAAACGTGGTCCATGTGAAAATGTGGTCCATGTGAAAACGCGGTCCATGTGAAAACGCGGTCCATGTGAAAACGCGGTCCATGTGAAAACGCGGTCCATGTGAAAACGCGGTCCATGTGAAAACGCGGTCCATGTGAAAACGCGGTCCATGTGAAAACGCGGTCCATGTGAAAACGCGGTCCATGTGAAAATGTGGTCCATGTGATTGGGGCAGGTGTCAGGGCCATACTGTTTTTCTTATGAAGGTCTTTCCAATCAGATATTTGCCTGGACAGAATACTATTCACTCCTCCTCAAGGACGTCCACCGGTCTGCTCTACATAAAAATGAAGGAAAAGGTTCTCGTGCCTCACAGTTGTAAGAAAGATGGCCGCTGACAGACTGAAGACCCGTCACTCACTAACTCATCACCAATGGGTCGTTAAAAATGTATAATTCTTTAGAGCTATCCACACACACATGGTTTTGTAGCGGCACCAACATTTGAGGCAAGGATCATGTGTGTGTGTGTGTGTGTTGCGGTGTATGAGTGTTGTGTGTGTCTGAGAGAGAGAGAGCGCGAGAGAGTGTGTGTTATGTTATTTTTTCTTACTAATAAACAAGTATTAAAAAGGTTGTAAGGCAAGGCAAGGCAAGTTTATTTGTATAGCACAAATTCATACACAAGGCAACTCAAAGTGCTGAACAAGAAAGCATTAAAATCATAAATAATCACAGAACATTAAAACGAAAGATAAAAATATAAAATCCCTCAGTTGTAGCACAGCTAAACAGAACTGTCTTTAACCTGGTTTTAAACATTGTCAGAGAGGAGGCCTGTCTCACATCTTCAGGAAGATTGTTCCAGATTTTAGCAGCAGTCGTTGTAGTCATATGGGCTCTGATGAACCTCATTAAACTGTAATAATCCATCCACATTCTGCCACACACACACACACACACTCACACAAACATAAACACACACACACACTCACACAAACGTAAACACACACACACACAATCATAAAAAAACCTCTTGAATTCTGCATTAGTATTTTCAGCACTCGTTCTCACTGATTTGAAAGGCTGCCTTTATGGAACAAGAGGGATTGTGGGTAATAATAATACTCCGGAGCGGACACTTCAGTCAAGAGCTCTGACTTGATTGCACAGTGATTGGGTCCAAATGTCAAACACATATTTACCACAACAAACAGGCTGTTTTCTGTTCAAAGTTAGATCCCTGACAATATGGTATCGAAGGACACAAATATAGAAAAACCTACTTTTTTGAGCGTTTAACCACGTTACAACGCTCCCTCGTTAAAAACAGACCTGGTCATTATAATGAAACGCAACTGTCAAGAAAACATGCATCGGAGAAACAGGACGCGCTTTCAGAACCAGGAAACAGGAACATCAGAAAGAACGCAAGAAAGAAACAGCCGCGCGACTAACGAGATCAACTACAGAACAAACACAGAAAAACTCCAAAGTCACATCATGGACAGGAAAAGGCAAGAAATAGTTCAGGAACAGAAGAGCATACAGTAAATACTTATGTGATTCACCCGGATTTTTTACTTCTCGGTGGATCATCAAGACTATTGGTCCTCCCAACTGTCAGTCATTCTGCTGATACGTACTCGTCATATAAGACCAGAGAGTTTTGTTCAAAAAGTGGAGAGGGCGGTTCTGTCCCACCCTGGCCTTATCCGTACTCTCCGCTCAATCATCATGTCCTGCATGTAACGTCTGGGTCTGGTCCCTGTGTTAGCGAATACAATCGGTTGAATTTCTACCGACCTACCAGCGAGTGCGGAAGGAGAGTATTGTAGTCATGGATCTATTAGGTTGTAGTTACTTGTGGGTGACGTCAAGAGTTTGCGTCGAACAGGAAGGTTGTAGTTTGGCAATGGCAAAAAATGCGATAGTAAAGTAATCCGGTCTGGTTCTATCAAGAAATTGAAGCCGGAGCAAGGGTAATGTTTAGCAAATGTAATTGCTAGAAAAAATTGTGGCGCTACTCCCCAGGGCTCCGTTAGCAGCAAAGGAGATGGCTAGGCTAAATGCTAAATGCTAACAACAGACTCTGGCGCACTACATACGTCACGGTAAACTCAGATCCAATTGTTTCAATCTGCAAAAGGAGTTAACCCCTCCCACCTGTTAACGGAGTCAATGGAGCAAATCTAGACCTTAGTACGAAATGTAATTTGTACTATGGTGTGGTACGGCCAGGCTAGTTCTTTCCTAAAATTTGGGAAAATCGTCTCGTATACCTTCAAGATGGATACAAGAGAAGTTTAAAATCAGGAAGCGCGGCACACGGACCATCAACAGAGATGAGGGGGCTTCCACCTTGACTCCTGGGACTCGAGGGGCGTGGCATCCGCTGCATCCGGTAACAACAGCTGATCAGAGACACGCCAACCCATCATGTGTCACCTCTAAGTAAGCAAGTCATCTTTATTCATGTAGCGCCTTTCACAGAGTGACAAAGCCTACCATCCAAACACCAGGAAGAAGCAGAACTAACTTCTTCACACTTTGGTCTTTTATGGAGAACCTTCTAAGCCTTAAAGGAGCTATACCCGTTTCTGCAATGTTTGAATGTTTAGCCCCGCCCCCAACTCGCTCAATGGCTTCTCATTTCCCCTACGCTCTCATAACACAGAGCCATCTAGTTCAATTTGCGATCTGACATGTATGCAAACATTAGCATTAGCACAACTTCTTGTAAGCTGTACAACAATCACTGATGAAATGGTATGTAACCTGGATAGAATATTTACAGGCAGCAATAATACAAAGATAAGAGTTCATAACGTAAGTTTCAGTTAAAAAGGATTAAAAGCATACTTTGGTTATAAGTTACATAAATATAGTAAAAGGTATAGTTCATTTAATAAGCCTGGTAATGTATAAGAATGTTTGCAGTCGATGTATTTTGTTTTATTTTGAAAATCTACAGGAAGTGCAATGTGTGTCACTATTGCTGTGGTTTTAGTTTGAAAGGGTAATTTTAGGACTGTTTGCCCAAGAGTCCGGGATTTTTTTGTTTTGGCTCTTTAAAGAGTGAAGCGGCCATTGTGTTTTTGCCATTGCATGTGTTCTTCTGTAGACGTGCAATAAAGCTGTGAAATGTGACTATATGGACTCAAAATGCAGTAAATAAATGAAATCTATCCCAGCGGTGCCTCCATTTATGTAGCCCACTTAAACCAAGTGAAATATGGTAAGGGCTAGGGATGTAAAAAACTATGAATTTTCATGACCGACCACCGAGCCTCATTAACCGGTTGAAACCGGTTAACCGCGTAGTTTAAAATAGTCCACGTTCTTTGAAATAACAGCCATTTCGAGCCGCGTACTTTTCATAAGTGCAGCTCTGCGTTCTACTGGATCAGAGCCGAGACAGCGGCGCCCAAACCCGCAACAGCTCCGGCACCTTTGCGCAAAGAGAACTGCTGTTTTAATCTTCCCATTCTGCTGTGCTGCGGGTTAATACCAAAACTTTCTAGCAGCAAACGACGGCTCGTTCACATGGTCAGAGCAGCGAGTGACGCGTCTCACAGGTCTTCACAAAAGTTTAAATACAAGTGATGTGTGTGGAGCTGATCCCGAGGACCATAAACACAAACATGTTCCATGTGGTTTGACTGGAGCAGTGTGTTTGCGCGAATCCTTTGGGCTCCGTGACACAGAGGGTGTGTATGTGTGTGTGTATGTGTGTGTGTATGTGTGTGTGTATGTATGTATGTGTGTGTGTGTGTATGTGTGTGTGTGTGTGTAAATGTAAGCTCCAATGTAGTTCTGACCCGCGCCAGTGTGCAACTTTGACGGTAACAGAGGGGAGAGATGATGCGTGTGGATGTTACGTATGGAGAGGGGGAAAGTGTGTGTGTGTGTGTGTGTGCGTGTGTGTGTGTGTGTGTGAAATATGTGGCTCGTGCGGCGTGAGAGTCGTCTCGGAGTTTATAATACATGGGCGCACACAGCTAGATACAGACTAGAGCCCTGCACGGGCCTATTATCTGGGCCCGAGCCCGGCCCTGGCCCGAGGGGGTGGCGCCCCAGCCCGGCCCGGCCCGATATGGTTTCTCAATTTTCAGGCCCGAAACCCGCAACAAGCCCGCCTTTTTTTTTTTTTTTTGTAACCTCCCATAACAATGTTTTAGCGTAGTATATAGTGCCGCGCACTGATATGAACGCAGACTTAGCTAGAGGGCGGAGTTATACATGGTAGTGATGTGTTGCAATGAGTTCTGTGTGTGCGGAGTGGTGCAGAGTGAACCCAGCTGTATGATACACAGCTGTATGATACACAGCTGTATGATACACAGCTGTATGATACACAGCTGTATGATACACAGCTGTATGATACACAGCTGTATGATACACAGCTGTATGATACACAGCTGTATGATACACAGCTGTATGATACACAGCTGTATGATGCACAGCTGTATGATGCACAGCTGTATGATACACAGCTGTATGATACACAGCTGTATGACACACAGCTGTATGATACACAGCTGTATGATACACAGCTGTATGATACACAGCTGTATGATACACAGCTGTATGATACACAGCTGTATGATACACAGCTGTATGATGCCCAGATGCTGCAACACATCTGCACATTACATAAGTAATGCTATGTGCCGTCAATGACAACACTACACAGAACAACAAACACTACAGCGTGATAGAACGCTATATTCAGTGGGTGCGCTCGTAAATCTATTCTGCCGCTCTGAAAATGAAGAGCCCGAGCCCGGCCCGTGTCCGAGGTCATTATGCGGTCATCGGCCCGAAGCCCGGCCCTCGGGCTGTCGGGCCGTCGGGGACCTCGGGCCAAGGGCTCAAGTGCAGGGCTCTAATACAGACCCGCTCGTCACACCGTGCAAATAGGGCTTAAAATAGC